ATGATGATGATGATGATGATGATGATGATGATGATGATGATGATGATGATGATAAGGAAGAATACAAAGAAGATTATGATCTACGAGAGGAGTAAGAAGAAGAAAAGGAAACAAAAAAATAAGATGAGAGAGATGTATCTTTGCCCTCATCCTGTGTACCCAACTCAATGTTTTCATCTCATCTCCATTGCAAAAAAATTAATGTTTTTTCTCTCTCATGTCTCCCTCAGGGTTCTGATCACGTGTTCCTGACGTCACTGGGTGGTCCGCTCTGCGACCCCTGGATTATCTACCACATCGTCATCGTCATCGTCGTCGTCGTCGTCAAAGTTGTCATCTGTCAGCGAAGTAGGCATTGGCTGTCGTTTCTGTGTCGCAGGATAAGCTCAGTGGTAGCAGCAGTCGCTTCGGGAGGAAATTCAACCAATCATAAATAAATGAATAAATAAATAAATAAATAAATAAATAAATACGTAAATTAGTAAATAAATAAGTAAGTAAATAAATAAATAAATACATAAATACGTAAATCAATAAATAATTTTCTTATTAAATAAAAAAAATAAATAATAATTTTTTTTTAATGCTCCTAGAAATCTTTGATAGGCATTGTTCTAAATGCGCCCATTTTGAGAATATAGTTTAATATTTTGATAACTTAGTTTTGCTTCGAACTAAGATTAGGAAAGTTTTTAATATATTTATAGTGGTTTCAGGTTATCTTAAATTAACAGCAATGATATAAATAATTGTTTTTGAGGAATTCTTTTTAAAAATATAAAAATTATTACTTTTCAGTGCCGTGATTATTTATTTTCTCCCCTTTTCTCCCTCCCGGCGTGGTGACCTCTATAGGTCAAGGTTTTGTCCACGTGTAGGTCACTCTCATGTTTCCGTCACGCCCACTAAGCCCTCTGTGAGATTCTGAGTTCAAAGTGTGAAGAGGCAAGTTTCCGCGAGAAATAATAATTTTATTGTTCTGTAAAGAAATATTCTGATTGGTTCGTGGAAGGAAAATCGGCGGTTGTGCTTCGCGGTGAAATCTTCAGCGTCGTGTTGGTGTATTCACGCTCATCTTCAACAACAACAACAGCAGCAGCAGCAACAACAGCAGCAGCTTCAACTTCATCGAGTCAACGAGACGACGCCATCACCACCACAACCACCGCCAGCAGCAGCAACACCAGCAGCGTGAAAATCCTGTTGTGCTAAATCTCTAGCGGCTTCTCTCGTTCCTGTTTTTGTTTTATTTTTGTAATTTTTTTTTCTGCTTCTCCTTACTGCTTCAAGTTTGGAGTAGCCTGTCCGTGCGTCCAGCAATCTGTCAACAGATACCGTCTGGAACCTTCGACCTGTTTCCACCATCTCTCGTGACGTGAACGTCACGTGATAAATCACATCGCCAGAAGTTCTAAAATCACGTCACCACGTGAAGTCCTTTTAGTCACCCACAGCCCGTACAGATATAATATCATCTCTCGTGTGTGAGTGTGACGACGTCGTCCAACGTCACCGTCACGTGCAATCAGTGACGTCGGTCTGTGACGGCCACCGGTAGCGTGACGTGCGCGAGTGGCGTCGGTCCGTGACGGCCGATGCCGGTGGTGTCCGAGATGTCATCCTCCTTGCAATATGACGGAGAGATCCCGGGTGGCTACGGCTCGAT